AACAGGAAATAGCACTCTCAATTTTTCAAATTCCTGATAAGAACACATCAATCGAAATAAGAATCACAAGAAAAGAGAATAGTCAACCCAGCATAATGGTAACATATCCAGTCTGTGAAAGCATTGGTTTTGCCAACTCCCAAATAAAAAAGAACTGAGACATATCTGAAGCACAGAGAAGGGCCATGGGATTCTCTCTCGATCTATCTCTCTTACTCTCAAGCTGCTTCTTCTCAGTGACATTTATCCCAGATAGATACAGAAATCAGCAGCAATCACCTTTCAATCCTTCAAAAAATTCAACAAGTTTTTTTGAGGGGGATGGGGGGGGATGTGAGTCCTTCTTACCTTTTTAGTGGGCATTTTTATCTTAAGAAACTCTGCTTCCCGGCTAAGTACATTCCATGGTGCATGGATCCGGACAAAACTCAGTCCTTGGCTCTTCTTCTGAAAAATGTAAGGTGGTCACATTCAGTTGAAAGGGTTATTTTTAAGGCCTAAGGTTTGGGGGGTTTTTTTGCAAAAAAATATTTATAATGAAACAAATCAGTGTCACATAAGGAAAGTGTATAGTATTCATTTTTCTGTAGTTCATCTCTTCCACACATTTTAACATATTCATAGGGGATCATCTAGCAATATTATGTATGCTACTCAACCTTCCCTATTCCATTTTATGAAATTGTAGAGCTGGAAGGGACCACAGGGACCATCTAGTCCAGTGGTTCACAATCTTCCTAATGCCACGACCCCTTGATACAGTTCCTCATGTTGTGGTGACCCAACCATAAAATTATTTTCGTTGCTTCTTCATAACTGTAATTTTGCTACTGTTATGAATCATAATGTAAATATCTGATATGCAGGATGTATTTTTGTTCACTGGACCAAATTTGGCACAAATTCCCGATACACCCAAATTTGAATACTGGTGGGGTTGGGGGGGGGGGCATTTTGTTATTTGGGAGTTATAGTTGCTGGGATTTATAGTTCACCTACAATCAAAGAGCATTCTGAACTCCACCAACAATGGAATTGAACCAAATTTGGCACACAGAACTCCCTTGAAGGATTTGGTGGGCAGTGTCCTTTGGTTTTGGAGTTGTAGTCACCTACATCCAGAGAGCACTGTGGACTCAAACAATGATGGATGGACCAAACTTTACACGAATACTCAATATGCCCAAATGTGAACACTGGTGGAGTTTGGGGAAAATAGACCTTGACATTTGGGAGTTGTAGTTGCTGGGATTTATAGTTCACCTACAATCAAATAGCACTCTGAACCCACCAATGAAAGAATTGGGCCAAACTTCCCATACAGAACCCCCAATGACCAATAGAAAATACTATGTTTTCTAATTGTCTTTGGTGACCCTTCTGACAGCTCCCTCATTTTTCTTGCCTAATAGTAAGACCTTACATTTAGCTCTCATTTTGATAATTTTTGCTACATTTCTCCAATCAGTTAAGGTCCTTTTGAATCCTAGATGTCTGAATGTAGAGCAAACTTCCCGCCTCCTTTTCCTATTGGTTCTTTTGGGTGGATGGGAGCACTTCAAATTAAAGGAATGAAGACAGTCATTCATTATTGTTATTTTCTGAGGGGATAATGGAAAAAAGAAGGTGCTGAGCTCCAGTGGTTTTCTTTGTAACACACCAAGCTTCCCACTATCATTATTTTTGTTAATTGAGGAAAATCCATTGGTTTTCTAATTAGGAGAGGTGGGGAAGCTATATGTCTGGGAAAAGCCAATACTAGAATGGGGTCTCCATAAGTCACCTGCTGACTTATGGAGACCCCATTATTTCATAGCATTTTCTTAAGCAAGGAGTACTAAGATGTGTTTGTACCAGTTTCATGTTCTAAAATAAAGCTTGCAGTACCTGGTATTCATTGACAGTCTCCCATACAAATACTAACAAGGGGGGAACTGTTTAACTTCAAACTAGTTAAGTAACAAATACAATCTCACAAATAATCAAATCCACAAAAGAAAAAGCCACAAATGTGGAAGACCAACTATGTCTTCATTTCATTTTAGTGCTCCCACAGTCTGTCTCTAAATTCAAAATTGGAGTACATGGAGTCATCAAAACTATACAGTTGAGGTAACCCATGACTTGTTTCTCCCTACATTGTAGAGCAGTGTTTCTCAACCTGGGGGTCAGGACCCTTAGGTGGGTCGCGAGGGCATTTCAGAGAGGTCACTAAAGACCATCAGAAAAAGTATATTTCTGATGGTCTTAGGAACCCCTTTGGCAGAGAAGGCTGAAGATCTCTCTGCCTGTCCTTCTCTTCCTTTTTGGAAACTAACCCTCCCAGCAAAATCCTCCTCCTTTGTGATTGGCTGGCCAGTCAGCCAAGTGGAGGGCTGTTTCTGAGACTCCAAGGGAGGAGGGGAAAGCAGGCATGCTCGGCGCATGGCAGTTTGGTGCACATGTACGGGCGAGGGAGAGCATGTGAGGCTGGAGGGAGACTCATGCCAGCTAGTCCCTTCAAGGCATGGGGGTTCTGTGTGGGAAGTTTCCCCAATCTTATCACTAGTGGGGTTCAGGTGAGCTATAAATCCCACCAACTATATCTCCCAAATGTCAAGGTCTATTTTCCCCAAACTCCACCACTATTCACATTTGGGCATATTGAGGATTTTCATGCCAACTTTGGTCCAGATCCATCATTGTTTGAGTCCACAGTGCTCTCTGGATGTAGGTGAACTACAACTCCAAAAATCAAGGTCAATGCCCACCAAAACCCTTCCAGTATTTTCTCTTAGTCATGGGAGTTCTGTGTGCCGAGATTGGTTCAATTCCATTGCTGGTGGAGTTCTGAATGCTCTTTGATTGGAGTGGGGGGGGGGGGGGGGGGGGGGGGGGGGGCATCCAATTCCATTGTTGGTGGAGTTCAGAGTGCTCTTTGATTGTAGGTGAACTATAAATCCCAGCAACTACAGCTCCCAAATGTCAAGGTCTGTTTTCCCCAAACTCCACCAGTGTTCACATTTGGGCATATTGAGTGTGCCAAGTTTGGTCCAGATCCATCATTGTTTGAGTCCACAGTGCTCTCTGGATGTAGGTGAACTACAACTCCAAAACTCAAGGTCAATGCCCACCAAATCCTTCCAGTATTTTCTGTTGGTCATGGGAGTTCTGTGTGCCAAGTTTGGTTCAATTCCATCATTGGTGGAGTTCAGAATGCTCTTTGATTGTAGGTGAACTATAAATCCCAGCAACTACAACTCCCAAATTCAAATTTGGGCGTATTGGGTATTTGTGCCAAATTTGGTCCAGTGAATGAAAATACATCCTGCATATCAGATATTTACAATATGATTCATAACAGTAGCAAAATGACAGTTATAAAGTAGCAACGAAAATAATGTTATGGTTGGGGGTCACCACCACATGAAGAACTGTATTAACGGGTCAGGGCATTAGAAAGGTTGAGAAACACTGTAGAGTGAGTGTACCTAGACACTTAACAGATGATGAGCATTGTGCTCTGTGTAAATGCCATATTGGACAAAAGGATACCAACACCTATTGGTTTTTTTTGGGGGGGGGGGTGATTTTGCATGGCTGTGGAGTATTTATGCATAAGCAATTGCTTCATATGGTCTTAGCAATGAGGGCACATCATGCAAGAATGTTTGAATGCATGCACTTCGGTAAACATTTTCCGTCATTATTAAATGAGGTCATTGTGTATTAGACAGAACCCAGTGCAACCTTGACATCTTACCTCCACATCTTTTTCTATCTCTAGTCCAGCTTCTACTAGGTTAGATTCAAACTGGTTCCTTTGTTCCCACTTTGTTTCCTCCAATACATCCAGTGGACTCATATCAACAGTTTCACTATCTGGACAGGGGACATCCGGGTTACATTGCTGTTGTTGTTCAGGTTGTGTTTTGGCTGTTTCCCCATTAGAAATAATAGCCAAAGATGGAGGTCTGTGCAAGAGGCCTGGAGAACCATCCCCAACATGTGAGATCCGTTTTCGGTAGTGGTAAGCTAAAACATAATCCACTTTTCTTTTGCTGTCTCGGAAATGCATCATTCCTGGTACAGTCCTTTCAGTGGCTCCTACTTGTGCTTCATCCATATAATTGTTAATGACCTGGAAGAAAGTTGGAAGAAACATATTAGAAAAAAATATCCTGAGACGAAGTGAACAGAAGGACTCAATAATTTACTGTCCTCATAAGTCAAAGGAGATAGATGGCATGTACAACATATGCAGGAATTAAAAAACTCAAAAATTACAACAGCAAAACAACAGAGAGTAAACAATCAGGCACATCAAATCACTCTCAACAAAAGATTTCCCCCAGGCACTTCCAAGCCATTAAATGCTAATCAAGGTGGTCAGTTGAAACATTCACACCTAGCTCCAGCAGAAACATTCACACCTAGCTCCTGGTCATTCCACAGATATATAAACCCATTTTCTTACTTCCAACAGACCTCACTACCTCTGAGGATGCTTGCCATAGATGCAGGTGAAACGTCAGGAGAAAATGCCTCTAGAACATGGCCATATAGTCTGGAAAAACCTACAACAACCCAGTGATTCCGGCCATGAAAGCCTTCAACAATACATTATGCAGGAATTAACAGTGGTACATGGCTGAATGAGGCAAATGAGGTTAAGTAGTATTGTGCAGGGTGATTCCACAAGAACAGAGCGAGTGTAGTAATGAAAGGAACTTATGCAAATATTCCAAGATGATACAAAGCAAAGCCATGTGCTAAAAAAGAAGGCAACTCCTACTGTTCCACATAAGACATTTGTGCTGGATCAAGTCAATGTCCTTGGAATGCCATCAGATGTTTCCAAGCACTCACAAGCAGGCATTCAAGTCATTTCCACCCTTTTGCTTTTCCCATAAAGTCTTTGGAAAATAGTGGTATGAGTAAGAATTTGAAATAATATACCCTAACAGTTTTACTCCAGGTTCTTAGTTAGCAAAGCTGTCAGACGTCTGAAACAATCAGACCTTTTGCCAGTAGGTATGGGCCACATTAAATTAGACTGAGATACGTGGGCCACTGACATTGAGTATCATAGAATGAAAGTGACATACTTTCATATTTTACATTCATAAAAATATAAGATCCAAGAATTTGCTGCCAAGCTATAAGTCATATACAAGGCAACAAATTAGGTTAGAGAAATAGATATTTTTGGTACAAGGCATCATTACAATAAACTTTGAGGTGGATGGGTGTAGTATTTGAGTGTATTTTGGAATGTATTTTAATATTGTTATGTTCATGACACAAACAATTTAATTGGGTTTTTTTTTTAAAAAAACCCACCATATTTTATTGCATTTACCCAGTTTAATTGTTTGGTGTTATTTCTGGTGATAGTCACTTGGAGTCCCTATATCAGGAGAAAGGCAAGGTAAAAATAAAGGAAGTAAACAAACAGACAGACAAATAAACATAATATGAAACTGGAGCCTTTCAGCAATGTTTGGGATTTAGGGAAGGGGCTGGCATTGGGAAATGGAGAAAAAAATAAAATATTTATAGCACAGGTATAGCTGGTTCTGGGTCTTTTTTGCCCAATCAGCTGAATTGAGTGAGTGAGCAAGTTCTAAAGGTATGAAGTGAAAGAAGCCCCTACTCTGTTCGTTGCAAAGCCTTCCATTGTGATCTTTTTAATCCAAGTGTGGCAAAAAAACAGACTGAGAGATTATGACCATTCATCCCTGCTTTGCATAGTTAATACATATAAATGGGATTAGGAAAAAGGTTTATTCAAGACTCTTCCCACTGTGTTAATTTGGAAATGTTCCAAAAATTTGAGATGCTAGTTGGAAGAGAATACTGTTTACTAAAGACAAATCTTATGTCATAGTAAGAACAGTCGTCCCCAGATCAGCTCTGTGACAGCTAGATGTCACATGGAACTGATCTAAGGCAATGTGGGGCAAGGGCCAGAATTAAGACTATTCCCCAACACTGGGCCCATCAGATGGGAACAACGGTTCTTACTGCCATCCCATATTTCCCAGGGTTGAGCAGCCCGGGGACACAGGATGGTAGTTGTTGTTATTATTATTATTATTATTATTATTATTATTAAACTTTATTTGTACCCCGCTAGCATCTCCCGAAGGACTCGATGCGGCTTACAAAGGCCAAGTCCTCAACACACAATATAGCAATACAAAACCTAAGGCAAATTAAAAACAATTCAAGAAATATAAACAATAAGCAATCAACAATACATTAAGACACAATAGAACTGGGCCGGGCCAGAGTAATGGGTACAAGATTAAAAGTGCTGATGTGACAGGTGGTATATAAGGCTTATAGGGCAAGTGCAGAGTGCGATGTGCAACAATCTTGGTTCTAATAAAGTGCTTATGGGACTTGGTATTGGAGATTTCCTAATCTGGGAAGGCACATCGGAACAGCCAGGTCTTCAAGTTCTTTCTGAAGACTGCCAATGTAGGGGCCTGTCTAAGATCTTTGGGGAGGGTGTTCCAGAGTCGGGGGGCCACCACAGAAAAGGCCCTGTCTCGTGTCCCCACCAAACGCGCTTGCGACACAGGCGGGATCACAAGCAGGGCCTCTCCAGATGAACGAAGTGAACGCGTGGGTTTGTAGACGGAGATGCGGTCACGCAGGTAGGCTGGTCCCAAACTGTTCAGGGCTTTGTAGGTAAGCACCTGCACCTTAAATTGGGCTCGAAAAATAAACGGCAGCCAGTGGAGCTCCTTGAACAGGAGGGTTGACCTCTCTCTGTAAGGGGCTCCAGTTAACATCCTGGCTGCCCGTTGAACCAGTTGGAACTTCCGAGCCGTTTTCAAGGGCAGCCCCACGTAGAGCGCATTGCAGTAGTCCAAACTACTAGTTATTGTTCTCTCCTGTCCTCTGTGACATGATGATCTCCAGCAGTGACACAATACCTGTTTGCGGTCTCCGGCAGTGATGTCAGCCAGAGTGATGGCCCAATCAGAGAAGGGAGAGGAGAGGGATTCCTTCTCTCCCCGCTTCCTTGTTGCCCTGTCACCACAGATGACCTTATTGCAGGTGACACCTAACAGGTCCAGCTCTGTTGACTGCTTGAGACTCCCTCCCACCTCTGCTATAGCTAGATTGCCTCCAGATTAGCAGGTCTATAGATGTGCCCTAAGTCTCCATCTACACTGCCATTTCATATGGTGAAGGGAGCACATTACTATGAGGTGTCCAAACACCCATAATAATGCAAATTAACCCAGAATAAGCCTGGAAATCCAGATTTGCTCAGTTCTTTTTTTTAAAAAAAAAACACGTGCAAAGATCTGGACCTTTCAATAAGTGAATATTTGCAGATGTGGGATGCGACCTCATCACATTGAGAGTAGAAAACATGGGTGACTGTCCTTTTAGCATAGAGAACTGCCCCTATTATATTGTCAGGGGTCCCGTTTTGAGTTCTCCCTTCCTATTGTGCTCACTGGTGGAAACTTAAGAGCTGGCAATACATTCATCACAAAGTCCTTGTTTTTTAACCAGGAGAAACAACAATCTCCTGTTCGGTTTTATATTGTTTTAATTTGCTTTATTGTTTTATTTTCTGTTGTAAGTTTTGTTTTTTGCATTTTGTATTTTATTGTGTTGTATTGTATTTTTTGGGCTTGGCCTCATGTTAGCCACCCCGAGTCCCCATTGGGGAGATGGTGGTGGGGTATAAATAAAGATATTATTATTATTATTATTATTATTATTATTATTATTATTATTATTATCCAAAAACCAAGAGATCCCTTGCTCTACCCAAAGCCACTTACATTAAAGTAGACCGACACCAGTTTAAAACCAATTCTTTCCTTGGGATAAAATGGTTCTGCATCAAACCCCATAGCATACAAGAGATAGTGATTCTGGATAGTGATACCATGGGATCATACTGTTCTGTATTGAACCCCATAAGATACAAGAGACTGCTGATGGTTGGGCAATGAAAAAGGATGGGAAATTTTACTGGTTCCCATCCCATCTGCTTTTCAGTTGGAATCGTGGGTGTAAAATACGATAAGAGGTAGGAGCTCTGAACATGATTGCTGGCCCATGTTCAGATCTGCCTTCTTTCAGGACATTTCCGCATCTTTTCAATCCTAAAACATGTGATGAGTACCGTGCCTCTCCATGCTTGAAAAGAGGCTGAAGTGTCCTACGAGGGGGAAATTTCTCAATGTGATGAGATCGATTACCGGAGTTCCCTCTTTTCATGACACTTCTGCCTCTTTTCAACCATGGAGAGCTATGCATGATGGTCAGAAGTAGTTTAACTTATGTGAAGAGCTCAGTGTTTGAAAAGAGGCTGAAGTGTGTTACGACTGAGAAATTTCTCAATATGATATGGTGGTTGGTGACTGCCCCTGAGATTGCCATCCGCAATACTGGAGGCTATCCACACAGCCATTCCACCTATGTGGGCTCAAGCAGTCCACAGAGGAGGGATGGAAAGCCCCCTTTTTGTTTTGGAAAGTATAAAAACAGACTCGTTATCAGGCCTGGGGGATTCTCCTTGTTCCCTGTCTCTTGAAAAGTGATACAATGCAAGCTTTCCATAGGGGAGTAGGGAATTCCCCATTGAAAGCTCCATGCATCCTTTAGAGCAGCGGTTCCCAACCTATGGACCATGGACCACCAGTGGTCCACAAAAATGAAAATATGGTCTGCTTTCTCATCATTAGTACACTGTTGCCTCGAAACTATATGATACACATTGCCCTGTATCCTAGGATGTGATCCCACATTATCAGTTTTGAGCTGGATTATATGAGTCTACATTGCTAAATAATCTGGAATCAAATCCTGGGATATAAGGGACTGTAGCTCCATCCTAAGGCCCCTTCTACACTACCATATAAAATCCAGATTATCTGCTTTGAACTGGATTATATGACAGTGTAGACTCGTATAATCCAGTTCAAAGTAGATAATGTGGGACCACATCCTGGGATATAGGGCAATGTGTATCCAGCCTTAGTTTGCAGGCATATGGGTTATCATGAAGAAAAGTCTTGCTTTCTATAACTAATGGCTATTATGCATGAAGACAGAGTAAAATGTGAATGATATGTAATCATCATTACGTATCATTACAATAGG